TGGCATCCAGGAAATTATGAAAAAATTATGAAATCTTGATATTTGGCTATTAGAATATTTGTGCTGACTGTGTTCTGGGAGACCCATTTTCATATATGCTGCAAGGTAGCAGGAGTTCCCTGCTAAGGGGTATTTGCAAACCCCCAGTTCCTGAAGTGCAAGTAGTTTGAGTAAACATGTACTATTTGATATTTATGTATGTACATGTATATTTATTTGATATCTAATGACTAATGACCATTACTGCCTAATCTATATTCAGTATAACAAAGTTGCTTGAATATTGATGAATTGAACTTCTTATGGTAATCACATTTACATTTAATGTTTGACTTTTCTAGACTGGGATGAAGCAGACAAATTATTGAAATTGTGAGTTACTGAAACTTAAAATTTGACTCAGTGACTTAGTTTTACCTCAGTCTTTGTTCTCTATGTATACCTGCTGTTCCCTCCAGTTGTAATTGTTTCTCAATTAATTAATAAATAAAAATCCAAAATATTAATCTAAATTGCAAGTTAGGATGGTTGTATGGGAGTGGGACACCATTAATCAATCAAATCATTGTTTTGAAACCATAACTTGGCAAACCTCCCCAGTCACACTAAGCTGCCTCCCACATTATCAAGAGAGCTTACTGTAACAACTGTTATGGTGGTTAGTGGCTATAGTGGGTATACTAACTACTGTGGGTGCAAAAAGTATCCAACATAATGGAATAACTTATTTAATTGGAGCTTATTCAACACAATAACACAAAGAAATACTATTCTAATCTAAATTTACATGGAAAATACAAATATATCAAAACAACAATATCAATTAATTTTGACTTGATGATTGCAATTTTGTAAAAGTCAAGGTTCAAAAAAAGTAACACATTGTTAAGAAATTTACTCAATACTTCGTCATATGACCTTCAACAGCCAAAACTGCTTCTAACCAATTTAAATACTTGTTCACAAGATTAACACTTATGCTAATAAGAATTTTAGCCCTCCTTGCATATTTCTTTCAATTGGATAAGATTTCTTGGATCTCTCTCCCATACCCTCACTTTTATTTTTCTCCACAGATTTCCAATCGGATTGAGGTCAGGTGTTTGGCTTGTCTAGTCCAATAACTCGATGTCCCTCTCCTGAAACCATGAAACCATGTAAGAGTTGCCCTAGCCATGTGATTAGGGTCATTGTCTTGTTGGAAAATCCAACCTCGAGGAAGGTTCTATTTTTTGGCTGACTTCATGAGACATTTCTCAAGAATGCCCCAATGCATTTCGGAGTGCATCCATCCTTCTATGATTTCCAATTATCCAGGGCCTGCAGAAGAGAAACAACCCAAAGCATTATGCTGCCTTATCCAAACTTCACTAATGGGATGGTATTCCTCAGGTGAAATGCAGAGTTATCGTCTCCAAACACCACTGGCACAAAATTTGCTCTAACAACACAATTTTAGTCTCATCTGACCATAATATTTTATCCAAAAAGCTTGAAGATTTATTCATGTGTTCCTCAGCAAAGTTCTGGCAGTTTTTAAGGTGAATTTCCTTCAAGAAAGTAGTTTTTCTTGGTGACCAAGAGTGGAATCTTCTCTCTCAGAGAAATGTCCTAGTTGTATTCCTGCAAACATTTGTCCCATTTGATTGCAAGACTTTTTACAGTTCAGAACAAGGCAGTCAAAGATTATTCTATACTTTCCAAACTCAACTCCTACCTGTACGGTTAGAAATTTTTGTAGGACGCCCTGAACAAGGCAGAATAGTCAAAAGATGGAATGATTTCCACCTCCAAACTGTATCACCAACTGCCGAAATTGGGATATTTAGCACAGATGAAATTTTTCTATATCCCAAACCATCTCTGTGTAGCTCAATAATTGATTTTCTAGTTAATTCAGAAAACTCTGCAGTTTTAGGCATTGTTGAAGAGCGTAAAATTTAGGCCACCTTCTCATGACAATGCCAGGTAATGAATGACTGCAGTTAGAAAGATGTCTATGACGTTGTTTTGCATTCTAGAATATTCAAATTTTTTCTGATTATAGAGTATACTCCTAAATATAATGGACGAGAAATTATTGGTAAATCTAATTCTTTTTTTACTATGTGTTAGATACTTTTTGAACCTTATCTGTTACAAAATTGCAACTATCATGTCATCGTTTAGCGCTACTATTGTTGTTTCTATATATATGTATTTCACAAGTAAATTTAGATAAGAATAGTGATTGTTTAGGTTATTTTGTTAGATTAGCTTTAATTGATAAAATTTTTCTTTTGTGTGATACTTTTTGCACCTACTGTATTTTATGAATGTCATTTTTGGCATTTGATGACTTATTCTTTAATTTTCTTTTCAAGCTGTCATAACCTTGTAATATTTTAAATTGTTTCAAAAATCTTATAAATTCTAATGAAATTAGAATTTTTTTGGAATGAAATTAGAATTTTTTTTCTAATGAAATTTGGCCCACTTCATGGACCAAATTATCTTCTAACACAAAGAAACCAGCAGTTTCTTCACAATGTATCCTAGTAATAACATGTAAAATCATTTCTATTAAACTCATTGATATGTTATAGTTAGTTACTTGCATAGATCTATAAAAGACTATATTGAGTTTTGCTTGGTGGCTAGATGGTCTTGTTTTAATGACTAATGTGCTGATGATAGTTAATTGCAGCTAACTTTTTTTAAACACCCTAGACATAGCACCTCATTTTATCTTTAAAGTATGGTTATGGTGACCATTAAACTCATATATTTTTGAATTTATCATGCAGGTCGGAACACTGCAATTGAAGAAAAAAATAAAATATATTGAAAAAGGTTGAAAATTAGACAAGGAATTCAATGACAATACTTCAGGTTTTCATAAAAGAAACAAGAAAACCGTAGAGCTGAAATCTTTAATGAGATGCTTGAAAAACAAAATATTACAATAAAAATTAGTTTGGAATCTCTGTGTAGGAATCAGACTGGATAAGAAATTCAATAAATTGTATGAAATGAATGAGACTAGACGCTGAAAGATGAGATAAAATAGGCAGAAGTCACTACTCATATGCCAACGATTACTATAAAAAGTCTTGTTTATTTAAACTTATAATTCGTGGAAACTATTCACCATTCAATAATTTTGACTATCAACAACTCATATTTATTCTTATATCTAAAGTTCAGGCAACTTACTCCAACAATATTATGAAAAATCGCAAATATTGATATTCATATAGCACTGTGTATGTTGCTATGTGTATAAAAATACTGATAGCAATATTCTGGAGCCAAAATGTCCTCTGAAAATTGTCCTTCTGATATCCATATCCTTTGATATCCTTCAAACTGTCCCGTCTATTTCAATACATCTTTAATTTCTATTATACAAGCCATTCTTGCATGTAGCCAAATTGTGTGAATTAAAAATTGCTGATGCATAAAGTAAGCAATTGTATGCATAAGTAACTTTGGATGGGTTAATTGTGTTGCAAATGCTGAAATTAAGGTCTTCTGTTGAGTCTTTATTAAACTCTGTACAATTTCCTGTATCCGTCTAGTGTTATTACCAATTCTGCCAACATTATAGATTGAAAACTTCAACCTCAGTGGTTCATAACTATCATCACATTTGGTCATGGCGTCCATTACCAAAGAATGCAGTGTTGTGCTGCACCAACTCTCCGATGCTGCAGTCAGGAGTGGCAGATGCCCTGAGCCAAGCCTCAGTCAAGCGTCTCCTGGTGGCAGCAAAGTAAAGTCTGAAGGTAAGCCAGATTCCATTTAAATAACTCATTAATTGTTATTACACAGAGGGGGAACTGAGGTTATGTAAATCTATCCAATTTCATTCTCATCTGTATTTGTTTCTCAAGAGTTTATAAACAAGATTTGATGAGGTTATGTGGGAAAATGCCACCCTATTAGTTTCACTCATGAAGTGGTATTTCACTCTGAGCAATGTTTTTGCCTGAGCTTACACGTCTTCATTTGGTGGACATTGTATCTACTATGAGACTTCTTGCTCCATAGCCCAGTGGTACCAGTAAACCAATGTACATTTTTTCCAGCCTTAGAAAAGGTTTACCCTCTGCCGGTACTTGAAGATTCTGCTATCTCCATCAAAGAAGAGCCTGAGGAAAAAACAGGAGAAGTATCCATCAAAGAAGAGCCATTCTCATATGGAAATGAGGTAGGTGGAGTTGATATGCAAGTGGTCAGCAGAGCACTTGAAATTCTTGCATAGATTTTAATTAAAAAAATTGCAGAATGAATGCTACTCCCGTGATAAAATCTTCAAGTTAGGCTCAGAAGACAAATTGCAACCCAGTATTATGTCTGAAATATTAAGCAATAATAATTAGGTATTATCTCCTTCATCTTGATTCAATAATTGCTCAGAAGTCATGACAAATTTTATCCAAAAATACTTGCAATAGGTTTACTATTTTTAAAGCCAAACTCATTTTTCCTAATAGTTGTCTGTAGTTGATTAATAATGAAAAGTGGTGGTCACTATTGGGAGCAGCCATGCCAAATTTTTTTGTTCAAAAGCACCTTCTTTTTTGTCAATTAATAAATAATAGAGCAGAGAATTGCGAAGAATAATACTGGAGATCCTTCATGTCCATTAATATAAATTTTAAATTTAGGTGATGCAACACAGCTACAATACAAGGAAAGAGATGTCTCTAATATTTATGTATGTCAATTTAATCGGATAATAACAAAAATAGAAAATTTTATCCATTTAGTTTGAAAACAGGCAATTGGAATGTCTGCACTATGGATCACCAACATGAGAAGACGTTGTATAGCTAGTAAATTGTGATGCTACCACATTTATGAGCTTATGTTGAATTAGACACTTGCAAAGAATTCTATAATGAGTTATACATTAGATCCTCCCTCATAAAATGCAAACCTCACTGCAGCCACATCAACATTGTCCTCCACATCCCCCAGGCTTGTTCAACTGCACATCTCAGCCCTGTACCTGCACTCTCCTCTTGTGTGCCGTGCAAGATGGAAGCTCAAGTTGAGGCTCATGACGCCCTCCCAAACTCCTCACAGAACACTTCTGCTCTGTTGGGAAATCAGGTAAATAAACATAATTTTAGCTCTCCCTAAATGGCACTGTGCAGCAAACTTTTTAGAGATTTTCTCAATTCCTCAACAGCACCAATTCGTAGGTATTGGTATTTATTTATTGGTTGGTATATAGGTATATTATAGTTGACTGATAACTGCTGGTAGTGATATTGGCTACAGATGCCATTTTCCTCCTACATTTTAATTCTGATAACAAAATGTAATTATTTTCAATCTTCAGAAATAGATGACAATATATCTGAATTCAACTAAGGAAAGATAAAATCCTGGAACATGTTAATCCTGCAGTGCAGGAACTTGTTGCAATCGAGCCAGTTACTTTAAACATAACATCATTACTCTCCACGTAAGGATGTTATGATCATATCCACAGAAGGATAGAATAGGTAACAATACCACAATGTGTGGGACAAAGATGGATTTCTTGGTTTCCCAACAGTAATTCTTTCATCTTTGAGCTGTCCATGGTCTACTTAGTGTATACTATTAAATCTTTACTTCAACTATTATCAATTATCATCTATCATGAACTATCACATATAACTATCATCCTTAAGGGAACAAAAATAGGGCGCTAATCATGAGCATTAGGGTTATGCTTAGTACTGTAACTTTAAGGAGACTGTTTCATAATTTTACATAGTGGTTTCATCATTGTGGCTGACACCAGCTGGTCCAGCTGAGGCTGGAGCCAAAGCTCAACTGCAGCTTGGTCTCAAAAATCTGTCTCCAAAGAGCTATAGCTAAATGTCTTGATGATGTTGTGGTTTATTCTGACTTTAGAATTGTTCAAGAGAATACAGTTACCAGGACAAAGTTGTGCCATAATCTGTCTTGTAAATCTGGGGAGTGCTTTTTTATCTATGCCGATTTTTTAATTGGGCAGGCATAGATCTCCAGATTGGGCAGGCATAGTCAATTATTGGATGACAGTTGGTTTTGCAGGTTTATAGTAGGTGTAGGCCTTATCTTGTCCAAATGATTTTCTTGTGAGGACTTTTAGTATGATATTGCTTCTTGAGGATTTTGCTTTTGTAGCTGTACTAGGCAGTGGAGGTGACCAATAGCATCAAGGGATAGGCTGAAAATTTCTAAGTTGCGATCAAGTGGACTGAGTTGATATTTTGTTTTGACATGAGGGTGGTACTGGGTCATGTGTGGTGTTGTGACGGTGACGGTCAATTATATTATGTGAGATTATCAGGTTTTGATGATAGAAGAAAGTGGGGTATTGCTTTGCTCTAAAAGTGTCACAGCACATTTTCAAAACCATAGCTCTTTCGGAAATCAGTTTCCAACTTTGAAAATCAATTATTAGTAATTATTGAAATTATTGTACCTAACTCTACATGAATAATACTCACTATTTCGTCAGACCAAGCTTTGCTGTGGAGTAAGCATTACATAAACCAGAGAAGACTGATTCAAAATTTCCAAGTTTAAAGAATATTCATCATAATGTTTATTTTCTGTTGTGATGACTAAGTGACCTTTTGAGAATCAAACTTGAAATTTGCCAGTTTACTCTGACCGTTGTTATTGTGGGAGATAGTTTCATTGTGTATTTTTTTAGTTTGGCGAAGGTGGATCAGCACCTGCAACAGGAGCTGCTGACATATCAGGAGCGTCCAGCTCCAAGCAACACACCAGGCTTGGGTGTTACCAGCGTGGATTGGTGGCTGCAGGTGCAAACCACCTGCAGCAGCTCGTTGATCTAGAACATCCTGCTTCAGGGCCCCACCGCTGCTCTAAATACACCTCTAGTTCAGGGATTGGACTGCAGCAGCACATTAATGCTATGCATTCAACAGAAACAACGTTTCAGTTCCCTAATTGTGTACAATCACACAAGAGAAAATTTGTTCAGTGCTCTCAGTGTGATTATGCTGGCACCACAGAGGGGGAGTTGAAAAGTCATTTCCTCTTCAGCCATACAAACGAAAAGTCTTTCCAATGCTATGAGTGTGATTATGCTTGCACCAGAAAAAAACACTTGGAAATACATTTCCTTCACAAACATTCAACAGAAAAACCTGTTCAGTGTTCTGAGTGTAATTATGCTTGTACTACAAAAGGAGCTTTGAAATCCCATTTTCTTCACAAACACTCAACAGAAAAACCTATTCAGTGTTCTGAGTGTGATTATGCT